TTGAGTTGTATTAAACCTTCTGCTTTAACTGGCATTCTTTGATGTTGCTTTGTCAAGGAAGGAGGGGGCTGCCTTAGTACTGCCAAGTGGAGGTAGAAATCTCGGTTCCCTCTCATCTTTCATTGCCACTTGAAGATGTTTCTCACTACAGTTGGAGAGAGTAGGGATTCCAGTTCTCCATATGGCCTCCATAGATTGTGCAGTGGAGTGGCCTTGTCCTTGCTGAGTGATGACAAAAGTCTTGACTCTCCACCAGGCCTCCTCTGACACCAGCCCTGCAGGAAGGGTGGCTTTTTACTGCTTATTCTCCACTAACGTTGCAGAGTGTGAACAGCCTTGTTGCTGATTGGTGGGGATGAACATCCCAGCTCTCTACTTTGCCTTCTCTGACACCATCCCAGTGAAATTGTTGAGACAACTCACTGCACTCTCAGGAGGGTCAAATTTAGGCTCCCCACTCAGCCCATGCTGCATGGGTGGTGATAGGGCCACCATTTTTTCCTCTGGTGTTTGGCTGGAGTAAAGCGGTTTTCATTTAAAAGTCTTGCTGGGTGGCTCTTTCCTAGTCTCTAGCTAGAGAGAGCTGGCGATTGTTGAGGCATATTTTTGTCTGTATCTACTGCTGTTTCCAGGACTAAATGGAAACGAGGAACATGTTACTGGCAATTGGATCCTTACTATAGAGTGACGAACTTGACTTAATTGTGTAGTGTTTTGCAGAGGTAGAATTTGCAAGCATTGAAATTGGGTATTTAGCCAGGCATGGTGATATGCGCCTGAAACCCCAGCAGCTAGGGAGGCTGAAGGAGGAGGATCGCAAGTTCTAAGCCAGCCTCAGCAATTTAGTGAGGCTATAAGCAACCTAGTGAGACCTAGTCTCTAAATCAGAAAGAAAAAGGGCTTGGGATGTGGCTCAGTTATAAAAGCCCTTGGGTCCCATCCCTAGTTCCAAAGAAAGAAAGAAAGAAGGAAACGACGAAGAAAAAAAGAAATTGGATATTTAGCTGAGGAGTTGTTTTCGGTGGGTGGGCAGGTGGGGGTGTTGTTTGTTTGTTTGTCTTTTTGGTTTTGGGGATTAAAGCTGAGAGGTTTCTAAGCAAAAGGGAACCCGAATTTGAAGATTTGGGAAATTCTCAGCCTATTCATATTGCAAAAATGAGAAAACGTGTTTCCAAGAGAACACCAAAAGTTGGGTATACTATCATTCAACAAAGAACCTACAGGCTTATAGAAGCAGAAACACTACTTGTTTGAATTGAAGAGGTCAGAGGTGGGAGGCAATGAAGAATGGACTCCTTGCATTTGACAGGACAGACAATAGAGTTATTCAGATATGAGTGTGAGCCATTTTTCAAGAAGAGGAAAAAGTTTGCCTGTAATCCCTACAATTTGAGAAGCTGAGGCAGGAGGAGCTCAAGTTTGAGGCTCTTGGGCAACTTAGAAAGACTCTGTCACTTCTTCCCCCTTTTTGATTTTTCCCTTTTGGAATGAAAAAATCTGCCTTATGCCTGGCCACACTTGTCAGATTTCACACACAGCTGGAGAGGAATTTTTCCTGGGGATCAAATATACCTCAATGAATTATATATCACCCTTATCTGATTGGATCATATTTTTATTGGTCTATTTATTATTTTTTTATAGCACTAGGGATTGAATCCAGGAGTGCTCTACCCCTGAACTACATCCCCAGTCCTTTTATATTTTTATTTTGAGATAGGGTCTTGAACTTGTGATCCTCCTGCTTCAGCCTCCCAAGTCTCCAGGATTACAGGTGTGCATCACTGAGCCTGGCTAATTGGAGAATATTCAGATAAGACTTTGGATTTTAGGCTTCAGAGTTGATGCTGGAAGGAGTTAAGACTTTGGGGGCTGTCAAGATTAAATGAGTGCATTTTGCATGTAAAAAGGAGATGAATTTTGAGGGACCTAGCTGAATACTGTGGACTGAATGGAGTCCTTCTTCCAAATTCATTTGAAGTTCAAACCCCCAACATGATGGTATGGTATTTTGAGATGGGGCCTTCGGGAGGTGTTTAATATTAGATGAGATTATGGGGAAAGTGCATTCATGATTGGATGAGGGTCTTTATATCAACCCACAGAGATCTTACTTTCTTTTTCTCTGTGCCATGTGAGGACACAGGAAGAAGACTACAGTCCACAAGCCAGGAAGAAAGCCTTCACCAGAACCTGCCCATGAAATCAGACTTCCAGCTTCCAGAACTGTGATAAATAAATTTCTGTTGCTTAAACCACCAGTCTATGATGTTTCAATATGGTATCCCTAGTAGACTTAAGATATACGTTTACTCCCTTTTCCCACAAGCCCTCCTTTTCTTGTATTACTCACAATTGTACTATAATGTAACTCTTCCCTCATTAATGGATGTTCATGTTGAATTCTATTGTTTTGGTATTACAAATAATTCTTGTAATTTTATAATCCTTGCACAGATATCAATAAGTATTCACAATTTTATTTCTGTTAAACATATTTTCCAGAATAGCTGTTACTAGGTAAAGGATTTTAGATTTTTTTTTAATTTATAAAACATTGCCAGATAATATTTGTTTATTTATTGATCCTGGGGACTGAATCCAGAGGAGCTTTGTCATTGGGCTACAACCTTTTAAGTTTATTATTATTGTTACTATTTTATTTTGAGACAAGGTCTTGCTGAGTTGCTTCAGGGTCTCACTAGGTTACTGAGGCTGACCTAGAACTTGTGAGCCTCCTGCCTTAGCCTCCCAAGTTGCTGGGATTACAGGAACGAGCCACCATACCTGATTCCAAATTATTTTAAAAAATTAGTCTATTAATAAACTGAGTGTGCTGGTACATGCCTGTCATCACATCAACTTGGGACACTGAGGCAGGAGAATCGCAAGTTTAAAGCTAGCCTCAGTAACTTAGCAAGGCCCTAAGCAACTTAATGAGACCCTGTCTCAAAAAATGAAAAGAGCTGATGTGGATCAGTAGTAAAGCGCCTCTGGGTTCAATACCCACTACCAAAAAAAAAATTAGTTTGATAAAGCTAAGCTTGGTAGTATGTGCTTCTAGTTCCAGCCACTCAGAAGGCTGAGGCAAGAGAATCATATAAAGACATTTACATGTGTGTCCAAAAACATAAGGTAATTCACTACAGAATTGTTTATGATAACAAATTGAAAATAGCTTAAATGTCCAACAATACAAGATTAGTCAAAGAAATCATGCTGTAGTTATGCAAAGGATCTATGCAATTACTTAAAAGAAGTGAAGTAAAAATATTTATATATGTGTATATGTATGTGTGTGTGTGTATGTACATGTATATACGTGTATGTGTATGTGTCATACACACATACGAATATAAAACCATCTTCAAAAGATATACTTTTTTTTTTGTACTGGGGATTGAACTCAACCACTGAGCCCCATCCCCAGCCCGATTTTGTATTTTATTTAGAGACAGGGTGTCGCTAAGTTGCTTAGCGCCTCGCTTTTACTGAGGCTGGCTTTGAACTTGCAATCTTCCTGCCTCAGCCTCACAAGCCACTGGAATTACAGGCATGCACTACTGCACCTGGCTATTAGATATACTTTTTAAAAAGAAAAAAAGAAAATTTTGAGTGCTCTGAAACAACTTTCTCTAAGAGACCCTAGGCCTGAAAGTCAAAAGACCAGAGTTCATTTAGCTCAAACTCTGACTCTATGTGGGCACAAAAGCAAGGATTTCTGCCCTGACCTTAGCTTCCTTACCAGTAAAACCGACACTTGGAGTCATATTTCCTAAACTTCATCCATTCACAGACCTCATATACAATTTTAGCCAAATCTACCTATCCAATTTATGTAATATCTTTAATTTTTTAAAAAATTTTTAGTTGTAGATGTTTTTAGTTGTTTATTTAGTTTTTATGTGGTGCTGGGGTTCGAACCCAGTGCCTCACATGTGCTAGGCAAGCACTCTATCATTGAGCCACAAACCCAGCCCCATTTAATTTTTTTAATTAAATAAATATTTTAAAAAGGAAACTATAACATTAACATGAACAGAAAGCCAGTGTTACCTGCCATAAAAGGAAGCAACAGTAAAACAAACAAACAAAAACACAAAAGTTGCTAAACAAGGTGAAAAGGTGGCATAAGCCTGTATCCCAGCTACTTGGGAGGCTGAGGCAGGAGGATTGCAAATTAGAGGTCAACGGGGGCACTTTGGAAGACCCTGCCTCCAAATTAAAAATAAAATGATCTAGGGGTAGCTCAGTGGTAAAACACCCCAGTGTTCATTCCCCAGTACAAAAGAAACAAACAAACAGCAAACAAAAAAAAAAAAAAAGAAAAAGAAAAGAAAGAAAGAAAGAAAGAGAAGAAGAAGAAGAACAACAACAACAAGAAGGAACAGTAGCAGCTAGAACATGCCTACAATCCCCAGCCATTCTGGAGGATAAGGCAGGAAGATCACAAGTTTGAGGCCAGACTGGTAAGTCCCTGTCTAAAAAAATAAATAAATAATAATTAAAAAAAATTCGCTGGCTGGGGATGTAGCTCAGTGGTAGAGCTACTTGCTTAGTATAGGTTCAACCCCAACAGCAGCCAAAACAAACAAACAGACAAAAAACAAAAAAAACAAAAAAAAACACAGAGTTATAAAGACAATGAGAATAAAATATATATGAAAAATTTTACAAAATGTTTCTAAGGAGATGTTACTTTAAAAGCAAGGAAAAAATCATTCAGTTACTTTTTTTTTTTTTTTTTTTTGATACTAAGGATTGACCTCAGGGGCGCTCTCCCACTGAGTTACATCCTAGCCTTCTTTATTTATTTATTTACTTTTTAATTTAAAGACAGACAGGAACTCTATAAATTGCTGAGAGGCTTGCTAAATTGCTGTGGCATTTTCAAATTTGCAGTCCTCCTGCCTCAGGCCTTGGAGTTGCTGGGATTGCAAGTATGCCACCGCACATGGCTATTCTGTTGCTTTCAATGGAAATAAAGTATCATCCACATGAGTCTGTAGATATATATATATATTTGTTGTTGTTGTTGGTGGTGGTTTAGTACCTGGGATTGAACTCAGGGGCACTCAATCACTGAGCCACATCCCCAGCCCTGTTTTGTATTTTCTTTAGAGACAGGGTCTCACTGAGTTGCTTAGCGCCTAGCTTTTGCTGAGGCTGGCTTGCGATCCTCCTGTCTCAGCCTCCCCAGTCACTGGAATTACAAGTGTGTGCCACCGTGCCCGGCTATAGCAATAATATTATTGAAACCATGCATTTTATGTGATAATTATTTTTCTAAGAACCATTAAAATATTAAAAATATCACAGTACTAAAAGCCTTTTGTCACCAGCAGTCAGAGTAGGGAAATTCCAGAAAACAGTGCCAAAGAATTTCTATCAACTCCAGCTCTTTGGGGGTCCCAGAATTTACTAGGAGCAGATCTCTGACCACAGGAGTGTTCAATCCATTGTTTTCCTCCCTGGATGGGGGACAGAGAAATCCTACCTTTGGTCAAGAAGTTGTTCTGATTTCCCAGAATCTTCTGGTTAGAATGTTTCCAGGTAAACAACATGTTCTTCCTCTGGGAAGCTGTGCAGGGCAGTTCCACTGAACCATCTACTTGGCCCATCACCATTTCCTTTCCCTGAGTGACCACTGGGAGCAGTGCTGGGTGAAACAGAAAGGGATCAGGCCTCTGTACTGCAATGCTTCATCTTAGCATTTCCCCACCTCCCACACCATCTGCTCCCAAACCCCAAGTGTGAGCACTTACCCAGTTGCAGTACCAGGAACAGTTGCCAAAAAGCAACTCCTTGGTTCATTTTAGCCTTGCTGAGGTATCAGGCAGGGGCCTGAATCATCAGGGACCTGAACCTGCAGAAATGGTAGAGACTAAGAGAGTTAATAATCATTAGTCAATAGGAATTCATTGGACCTGGGCATGCGGAGACCTTGCTCTTCCTCAGGACCATTAATCCAGCCCAGGAAACCGGACTTGCTTATACCTCTAGTACATGTCACAAAATGTAATGCCCTAGCTAGCCATGGTGGTGCACGCCTGTAATCCCAACAGCTTGGGAGGCTGAGACAGGAGGATCATGGGTTCAAAGCCAGCTTCAGCAACTTAGCAAGACCCTAAGCAACATAGTGAGATCTACCTCAAAATAAAAAATAAAAAGAGCTGGGGATGTGGCTCAGTGGTTAAATAGCTCTTCATTTTTCTAAATGGCTGAATAAAACTACCTAGTGCCAAAAAACAAATGCAATGCCCTGGTTAATATTGGGTGATATTAGTATTATAACGGCAATTTCTCTGGCCTGACCCTAGCCTCACATCTCTCTCTCTCTCTCTCTCTCTCTCTCTCTCTCTCTCTC